CCCCAAAACCCCAAAACCCCAAAACCCCACTCCTTTGCATATATATTGAAAAATAAAATTTAAAATTAAGTTTTTATAATAATAAAATGGAAAGTATTACTAAAGCTATTGAAGAAGAGAACACCCAGATAATCCGGTAACTGAGTGCTTAGTTTTAGAATACTTTAAATTTTCACTCTCAAACTTGTAACAAGTCCCAAAACTTTAAAGTGTAACCAACATTTTCAACTTTTATAATGATTTACCGATAATTTCTTGGCCGAGAAGTTCACAGCAAAACTAGAGAGAGTTTATAAGCCTTGCCTCTCCTAGATTTATTTGGACCTCCACAGATAAAATTTCTCCTAAAGACTTAAACCTGGGAGTTCTCAAAATCTAAATTAGCATCCTTTCATCTCCAACTTTCTGACAGATCCTGACACTGATCTACCTCCCGTCTACCTCTAATTGTGCAGCCTAGAGAAGTCTGTCCTGGTAAAAACCGAGAAGCAAGAGGTCACCACATGCCAGAGCATCCTCTATAAGGTTCGGCCAGATGAAGAAATTGAGCCATCGAATCCAGACTTCGAAGAAGTTTCACCATACAGTGGACTTTACATTTGGTTGAACAAAATCAGAGATGAAAAACTGTTTAAAAGTTTGAAGTGTCTTAAGCTTTTTGATATAGATTGGGTTTATTTGACTCAGATTTCTTCTAAAAATAGGCGTTTTGTAAATTTCTTACAATCCTCATTCTCAAATAAAATTAAGAACTTCAGTTTTTGTTACAGTGGCCAAATGGATCTGAAAAGGTCAAATTACTTAAACTCCCTGACCAGACTCAGCTCCAAAGTCGTTCAACAAGTTCACTTTAGTGATTTCAGCATCGGCCTGCCCCAACTGAAGAGGCTGGTGGCAGCTTTCAGACATGTGAGAGCTTTGGGATTGAGATATTGTAGGCTATCTATCCCAAGTGTTGCTGATTTATCAAAGGCTCTGAAGAATTGCCAAATCCAGGAAATATATTTATTAGAATCAGGAAACTCGGATAGAAGTGATTGGGAGAACAACTTAGAAGAGTTCGAGAACTTGGTACAAGGGTTAGCAAGCTCTCCAGATTTAAGATTGAGTCTTGAGCAAGTAAATGTCTATAACTGCGGAGTAACTCAAAATAAAGCCGAACATATCTTTGAAGAAAACCAGCTTGGAGGAGTTAACATAATTGATGGAAAATAAATCTAGGCTAAATTTCTTATTTTTACTACTTTGTCTTAAATCCTGCTTTCTCCATTATAGCACTTGGTGATTTTTAATATATTCCGGGGTTTGATCAAGCTGGGGTTTTGGGGTTTTGGGGTTTTGGGG